TGAATTTAAACTATAACTTCGAGGTCAAAAATTCATTTTTCATTTTTATTCAGGATTTTCGTACAAATCCAAAAATGCCTAGCAAAGTGTTAGTCAGTGTTTTAAGAGTTAAGAGAGTTACCAGGGTTGAAAAACCGCTTCGCGGCTTTTCAATCCTGGCCCCGTCCAGGACCTGCGAAAGTCCTCAATTTGCATGCTTCTCCCTCAATTCTAGCAAGAAAAAAGTGACAAAACGGCTCCTCTGTCCCTTTATATAGGCCCTCCCTACTTCCGGCGCATGCAAATTGCCTCCTAACAAAGAGGTTTTTGGAAATCTTTACAAAAACTTATTTTTAATAGCGAAAACAGCCGATTTTCCTAAATCTTATATGTGTGCACTCATCTCGGGATCCTTACGCACCTAATGACGTATCATACGTACCTTAAAAACCTTCCCTTGAGGCTGTAGGTGCGGTACATACTTACGGAAGTTGCATGCAAATATACACACACACAGACACTATTTTTTATATATAGTAGGATTACTAGAATTTAGCAAGATTTCAAGTAAAAATTTTTAGAAACGTTTAATCATTTTAAAAATTCGAAATTTTAGTCGAAAATCGGCATTTTTGCCGAGAAAAGGAGTTTTTTGCAATTTTTTAATTAAAAATTTCGAAGGTTTTTGCATTTAGGTATACTAAAAAAACAGCTTAAAAACAATTCTGCCATTTATATTTAAAAAATGGTTACCAAAAATGGTTTTCCTCGTCGCAATTCTCCCCCGAAAACGCATAAGGTCCTTCAAAAAGAGAAAAAATTCCAAATTGAATGAAAATAGCTATCGCAAGGTTTTAATGGCTAGTTAGATATTTAAATTCAAATTTATCTGAATTTTTACACCCAAAACCTACCGGATACGACGTTGGCCGGGCCGGGGGTGGCATGGCTGAACTTGTACCCGGTCGATCGTACGTCGTCCGCTTGTTCACATGGCTAAAAAAACCGATAAATTAAAATGCATTAAATAACGATACTCTACCTAAAATATATGACGTTATTTAATAATTCTGGGCCCGACACCGGGGGTCCCGCCACGGCCGCGGTGGAGGGACCCGGCTAAGGTCAGTCGAGTGCCCGGGCGGTTTGAGCATTTTCGTGGGTTAGGGCATATTTTGGGAAGGTTTTTGGAGTTGTAGTTTGTCGTTGGAATTATCTAATTCAATATTAGATAAATATCTAATTTTTGTGGAGTTATTGATAGGGGTTTTCAGGGTTTTTAGAGAATATTTATAGCTAGGATTTAAAAATTGAATAACAGATTTTACAGCAATTTTATTTTGTAGTTTATAGTATTCAGAAATTTACGAAAATTTAGAAAAATAAGCTCTGAATTAAATAAATCGAGTTTTCTGGGCGTTTCAGAATTTTTTGGAAGATTTTGGAGTTTTTGGAAAAATAGAAAATTTTTCGGTATTCGTAGACACCCAGTTAAATTAAATTAAAATTTTTATTTAAATATAGTTTGTAGTTTGTAGCGGGAAAAATATAGCCAATTTTTTAATAAGAATATAAACGCCAATTTTCGCAATTTTTTTATCTTGTAGCCCGAAATTCGGTGGATTTAAGAGTATTTGAGGACAGTTTTTTACGACGAGTCCAAGGGTGTGAATGGCCGTTCAGCTAGGGGCCCAGGGGCCAAAAGCCTGGCCAGAGAGTGCGAGGGGGCCCAGCAGGGGGGCGGGAATTCGAAACACTTCTGAAGCTCTCGCCAGGGGGCCAAAGGATAGGGCCCAGTGGGATGTGTGTGGCCCTAGCCCTAGGGCCCTCCCCCCTATCCTGCCAGGGGCCCAAGGAATTCTGGGGCCCAAGGAAAGGCGAGGATATGCATGTCCCTTTTGGGCCTTTGCAGGGAGGGGCCAAAACAATGGGCCAGTCAGAAGAGGGGAAAGGGCCCTCTCCTCTGTTCGTAGGTGAAGCCGACAGAGGGACGAACAAAAGCAGCAAGCTACTACTGAAAATCGTGGATTCCGGCCTGGGAGAGTCAGCCGGCGTCTCTGCTGATTTTTGGATGGTTTTAAAGGTATCGGAACTCTGGTACTCGGGTTCTTTCGCATTATCGGGGGTGGGACCAACGTTTTTATTTAGTATCCAGATTTTTCTAACTTTTCGAAGCGGTTTGTTAATTTTCAAATTTTGATCTAAAAATCGCAAAAATATCGATTGTTTTTGACCAAAACGTCAATTTAAATAAATTATTTTCGAAATTTTCTATTTTCTGAAATCGTTTTTCACTCGAGATCTGGCTAAATTTCACTAGAAAAATTATAAAATACGTACTAATACGTTGCTAGGAATTTCTGGGCGTTCACAAAAACTTTTCCCCTACGCTCCCCCTCCCCTCCCACTCGACTCCCACTTCTAGAATTTTTCTGGTGTTGCCAGTCTCAAAATTTGGCCCCATAGCTCCTTTGATCGCAAATTCCACGAATTTACCGTAACCCACCGTCGACCGCTAGCCGAACGCCGCATATACCGGACGCTCATCGCATGGCTGCCCCCGGAATGTATACGCTGGACGTACGGTACAAGGGAGAAAACGTTGGACACCTATACACCAGGGAAAATTGTTGAAAGGAGGAGGAGGAGCACAAAAACGAAACGGATTTCTGTAGAAAAAACAACCAAAATGAGCAATAGAGAACGGGAATCCATGGACCTGCCTTTCCCGTCCCTTTAAACCTACTGAGCGCGAGCGAGTGAGAGAGAGAGTGAGAGCGATAGCGAGGGAGAGAGACAGTGGGAGAGAGAGCATGAGAGAAAGAGAGAGCGAGACAGAGAGGCAGTGAAAGAGAGAGAAAGTGAGAGAGAGACAGAGAGTGAGACAGAGAGTGATAGAGACAGTGAGAGAGAGTACGGGAGAGAGAAAGAAACATAAAGAGAAAGAGAAAAAGAAGGGCAGAGAGAACGAGCGATAGAGAGAGAGAGAGGGAGAGAGCCAGAGAGAAATTCGTGCGCCGGTAGCGGCCAAAAGCGAAACCTGCCGGTCCCTTTAAGGAAATGAGAAACCCAAATATACCTAGAGACCAAATCGCTAATTTGCTACAAAACCTAAAAAATCGAAGCGCATTAATGGCATCTCAAAACCGGCGCGTGCCCGAGAATAATTCCCGAATTCGAGCCCCGAAATCGCCGCTAGCCGGTCAGTCAATCGATATTCGTCCCTTCTCGCCCCGATTCCCCCCTGCGATTCGCCGATTTTTAATCAAAACCCCCGGGGCTGGCCGTCGGTTGTTTCGTGGTGAATCAGGGTGTCGTCGAGGGAAGACAAATATATATCATCCTCCGACACAATCATACCACTTTGGGGGGAAAGCGGCACTTTCATGTCCTGACAATACACACTTTATTCTGGCCGGGGCCCCGCTTTCGAAATTCAAAGTGAAAATGGGGAAAACGGGATTTTCAAGTGCCATGGAGACGGAAAGGGATACCTTTAAAGGATAAACACTGTCTATATATAGAATTTTTAGCGGTAAGCTTTCTTATATATGGTAGGATACAACCAGAAACCAAAAATAGAAAGTTTTATCAGTAATGCTAGGGCAAAGTTTTTTTTACCCAGTTATCCCGACGTCGAACTACAGACTATCGTAATTCATTAATATCGACATTTCAGAATGTTGACATTCAAGAATGACGACAGTTCAGAATACTGACGCTTCAGATCATCGATCTACGGGGATACCAAAATTTCGACGCTGCGAAGCTATGAAATGCCGACATCTTCGACATGGTAAAATTTCGACATTATGGAATTTCGACAGGAGGAAAATACGTCCTAGCAACGATTTTAACCCCAGCAAGTCGCCTTCAGAAAAGGAAGCGCTAGCGTAGCTTTTCGGAAGTTTCGGCATCCTGGCAGCCAAACAGTCAAAATTCCGACAATTCAAAATCCCGACAGAAAAAATTCCGAAAGCCAAATTCTAAAAAAAAAAAGTAATTTTCAATATATCTAAATTAAAAAGCGTAAAAATTATTTACAAATTATTGAAATTTCAAAAATGTCAACGTATTTTCGACGCTCGTTTGAATGCCATTTCCTATTAAACAGCCATTTTGCTTGTCGGGATTTTGGCTGGCGAGATTTTTGTTGTCGCGATTTTGGCTATCGGGTTTTGCCTGTAGAAAATGCTTGTCGATGAAAAACTACAAAAAAAACGGAAATGCTAGCGCACGAGCGCGGGCGCGTGCGTGTGGTAGATACGTGAAGTCGAGACCCCGGCGAGCGCGCCTAATCCGAAGACAAAACACGACGCGCGAATAGCACGGCGGCCAGCTGCTTCAAAGGGTGGGCCGTTTTTTTGAGGGGGTGTGTATTTTTGTGTTGGGTGGAGATTCGGTTGGGGGTGAGACCGGACCGGAAGCAAACATGGACAATACCGGGAGACTGCGGGTATTGGTGGGGGTGGAATATGAATCCGAGAGGCCCATCGGGAGAGGACCCGTATGGCTCTCTCTCTCTCGCTCGCCTTCATAATTCCCTTTCTGACCAGTTCACGCCCTCCACACCCCAGCCATATTCATCGTCTTCATCCCCCCCCCTCCCGCAGGGCATCCCGTGCATAATAAGCTGCATCCCCCCACTGGCAGACTAGACAAAAAGCTGATGGAAAAGTCGTAGTAATAAGAGGCCGTTGTCTAGACCTGGTGGAAAGTGGCGTTGATTCTGGCGTTTCATCGTTTCTTTAACGGAATTTTGAGAGAGAGAAAGAGAGAGAGAGAGAGAACGAGAGAGACAGAGAGAGAGAAGAGATTTGGCCTACCAGCATTTCCTTTGGATCTCCCAGCAATTAAAGGAACAGTGAAGTCAGGATTCTTGGAATTTCTCGCCTTCCAAAACGCCTGGTTCTAACCCAATGGTCCCTTCAGAAAATTATGCAGGAAAAAGTCGCTGTGTTCAAGTTCAGAAAGTGCAGAATCCAGGGGCCAACACCCCAAAAAGTACGCAAATGTCCGCGGGACAAGATTGCCGGTCCGAGGGGGTAAATACGCGTATTCCGATTGGACTGTGTGCTTGCAGAGAGGGCGAGATAGACGGAGAGGGAGAGAGAGTGAGAGAGTTCGCTGGGCTATGGATTCAGGGATCGGCGAGCGGAAGGGGAAGGACCGGAAACTTTCCAAAAACATTATGCTGCATCCCCCGGGTGCCAGATGGGAGGGAAGGCGGCAAACCGGCTGTATACAGTTTGCATACGGACATTTAGGGGTGGGGGGACATCTTTGCATATGCCCATGGCTAGGAGGAGATGTTTCAACCGGGTTGAGCGGCTGCGATTTTGGGATTAAGCAAGGGGTTGGCAGGCCGCCAAAGATACGAAGAGCGTGAGAGAGAGAGACGGAGAGAGATATAAATATGGCGAGAGAGAGCGAGAGAGAGCGCGCCAGAGAGAAATACATAAACCTTTGCAATAGTTTTCAAGGTGCTAAGAAACAATGAAAGGCGCTTTTGCATTATCGGGGGGGGGGGTATGAATCCAAAAATACTTAGTAACGTAATAGAAAATAGTTTTAACAAAATCTCCCTATATTTTAGGCGGAAAAACTCCTTAAAGCGTTAAAATTTCGAAATTCGGATCGAAGGTCGATGATTTTTGATAGAAAAATCGGTATTTTGTATTTTGCATAAAAAGTATACGGTTTTAAATCGAAATCTTCTCTTACAAAGTCCTTTAAAATGCTCTTAAATTTCTCTAGCATACCTATTGGCCAACTGCTTGGCCCCTCGTTTACTATATCGTCCACTCCGCTGCCGATCCATAAAATGTGGCTGGGACATCGAGCGATTCTGGGCGTACATCTCGGAGCGGCTCGGAATATACAGGACCGGGGGGACACAAGGAATGATCTGGCTGCTTCGGGCTTATCGACTTGTGAGCAGCATGAAGCTGGGTGGAGAGAGAGAGCGAGAGGGCGAGAGAGAGAGAGCCGTGAAGAATACAGGGAATATGACCCGAAACATGGACTGATAAGCCGTCAGCAAACATGCATCGACTCTTCGGCCTTCACGGCATCTAGTGAGATGCCTTCTGAGGTTGGATGGGTGCCAAAATGGTGGCATTTTCGAATTTTTTGATTTCGACTCCCAAAATTTGTGAAGAATGCAATGTAAGCTTAGGAAGCGTAAATGGGGAAAGAACGGGCTTTTTTAGTTTTTCGAATCTGGTAAGTTCGAATTACTCGAAAAAATCCGACTTCTCGTAAAAAAGTCAAAATAGTATTGATGGTATTATTAGAATAGTAGTATTTTTTTCCTTTAAAATTTTAACAAGTTTGTAGGATAAAATTTTGGTCGAACGGCTATTTTTGCCCAAAACATCGATTTTATTGTCTTTGTTTTAATGACATTCTTTCTAAGTTTTTCGTTTAGCAATAGTAAAAAAACCATTTAGGAACACAACGATTTTTATATTTTACAAATTGGGACCCAAAAAAAGTTTGTTGGTTCGGAAAAATTCGGGAAACCCAGACAGAAGCAAAAACCCAATTTTCCACACGATCTACTCAAACCGCCCAAAACACGACAAATTTAATAATATATATTTTTTAAAATAGACATGAATCTAAATAAAAATCAACGTACTCGACGTAGAACGTTCCATAAACAGGATCGTCGACCTGCTCCCAGCCGACGGGCAAATCCCGCGGATCCTCCCAGTGCGTGGTCCCAGTATTGTGGCTGGAAAAGACAAATTTAATTTTGGAAATTGGAATAAAATCGAAATTGCACAACCCTACATTTTTTAATTTAGAAAATTTGCATAAAATTTCGGGTTACGCCACAATTTTAAAGACCAAAATAAATTCTAGTTCCCCCGAAAATGGTGAGTAAACTTTGAAGCTCTAGTTTTCACCCAAACCCCCCCACAGGACTACTCTTCCGTGCCGACCATCTCGCTGACGCACGACACCCAGGCCACCATCTATCTCGTCATGCTCTTTCAGATGGGTTCGTTTTTCAAGCGTTGTTGTTTTGTAGCGGAATTCATAGGCTCCATTTTTTCTAAGCGCTCCATTTTTTACGCCTCACACACACTAAAAGTATTTAGGGCTGAGCCTGATCCTGACGCTGCTCGTCTCCATGTCCTTCTACCTGCTCGCCAAACGGCGCGCCAACCGCTCGCACTGGGAGCAGCGCTACTACACCACATGAGAGAGAGCAGAGAGGGATCGATTGGTAATGAATAAATATGATTCCCAGAATTTGGGGGTTGATTTTCCTGTCGTAATCGGGTCCAAAAGGCGAGTCGGGGCGTCGCGGCTGCGGTGCGTGTCGCGTTCATTCGCTTTCGCTTTACGCCTTTCGCGCGGTCGCTCCGCCACTCTCTACGGCTCTCTACAGCTCTCATTTTTTCTACCGCTCTCTCTCAGACTCTCTCGCTAGCTCTGTCTTTCTCGCTCTCTATCGCCCTGTCACGCTAGCTCTGGATCCGGCGATATCTCCCTCTCTCCCTCCCTCGCCACTACTCTCTCTATCTCTGCTTCTCTCGCTCCTTCACGTTTTTGTTCTCCTCACGCGACGCACGCGAAACGCGTTCCTGAGCCTTTAAAAGCATTCCTTTGTGCCCTAGACCTCCGTTTTTGCATGTCTTCCCGGGCCATCGCCGTGTGAATGTGGATGACAAACAAAGGGGCCCCCGAAACATTTTCCCATCCCCGCCGACGCCATGTTTCTGGATGCTGATTCGAATTCAAAAGCCATGCTGTTCAAGGCTAAAACGCGCTTGTGAATGGGAAACGGCCCAAAAAGGAGGGGTACTGTAGCTCGGTCCGATTCAAGAGATAGCCGTGATTATTTGGAGGAATGATGTAGTTTTAACTCATTCTATCTCTCTCTAATTTAATAAAAAACTCACTCGATAAAGTACTTTTCCCCTTGATCATCGTAGGCGATCTCCCAATTTGGGGGCAGAGGGCCCTTGGATGGGCCCGATACCATCTCAGTCGGTCGCGGGGTCCCGTACAGATGGCCTGTAATGGAAAATAGTATTATTGGAATGCTGAAAAAATTTCTATCATTGGGTAGAAGAAGAGAGAGATAGAGCAAGAGAGGGAGAGAGAAACAGAGAGAGAGAGAGAGAGAGAGTGGGAGGAGGGAGAGAGAATCAGAGAATACGAGACGAGTGAGCGACAGCTGTAGAGAGAAGCGAAAGAAAGCGAGAGCGAGACAGACAGAGAGAGAAACCTAGAGGGAGCGCGCGAAAGCGTGAGAGAGCAAGTGAGGGTGAAAGCGAGGGATAGCAACAGGGTGCGAAAAAAGGAGGGCATAGAAAAGAGAGAGAGAGAGAGAGAGAGAGAAGAGAGAGAGAGAGAAAGAGAGAGACGAGCGAGAGATTCACAAAACCAGCTCGAAAAATCTGAGTCGAAAAATTTCCTTAGAATATCTCGTAACCCACGCTGATGGTAATAATGACAATTTTCGGGTGGGCAGAGAGAGCCGTGCTGCTCGCGAATTCTAATTGCCGCAGGGGTGGGTGGTGATCAGCCCGGGGGAAAAGTCATAAAAGTGGTGAAGGCGACCCGCGCGAGACACGACGGATGGCCTGGAATCCGTTGTGGGTGGCGTCAAGTCGGGTGGGCGAAGAGGGGCGAAACGTCCATGGGAAAGCCCCGTAAATATGGGATCATATTTCGGGTGGTGGATGGGAGGGGGAGGGCCGTTTTCTGCTGTGGTCAGCGTGGGAAAAATGGGCATTACGAGTTTTAGCATGCCGAACGGCACCTGGAAGGCTAAGAGTAGCTGGATTTTATTGGGTTATTGGTTTGTAATTGGTTTGGAAAAATAAGGGGGAAATTTTGTGTTTTGCCGAACGACACCTGGCAAGCAAATAATGCCAGATTTCACGGCGTAATCGTTCCAAAAATGGGTTGAAAACGGAAAGACAAGTTTGGAGAGATGCAGTACAAATTTTAGCTTGCACCTAAAGGCACCTGGAATGCCACGAGGACCACATTTTCATTGCGTAATCGGTTGGCAAATGGCTGGAAATAGTGAAAGACGAGTTTAGGAACAAGGATTACGAGTTTTTGTTTACCTGAAGGTACCTGGAAGGCTCAGAATAGCCGATTTTCATTGCGTAATCGGTTCAAAAATCCACTCCAAATCGCGAACACTGGTCAATAAATTTAGGGGGAGAAATCGAATAAGGGGTGCTGCTAGCTAGGCGTAGGCCGCTATGAGGCCAGCCCCAAAATCAGCCGCACGATCTCCGGGCCGACGCGCGGAAAGTGAAGCAGCGCCTGGAACGGCGGAAGGAAGGGGAAAGCGAGTGGATATCTGATCGGCAAAGTTTTAGGATTTGGTGTTGACCTGAAACTTGCGGAATCGGCCTAAGTAAAGATAGAAAAATGAATCCAGCTGCGTATGGGGTCTTTATGAAGGCCCCAAAAAATCTTCACCCCGCCCTGAGCGCTGTCAGGTGCAGGCGTGGAGAGAGAGAGAGAAGTGAGAGAGAGAGAGAGAGAACGAGAAACATGCCCAGGGCGCGCGGTATTGAAAAAGCCTACATCGGGGTAAGGGAAAGAACCAGGCGAGAGAGACAGATAGAGAAAGAGAGAGAGAGAAAGAGAGAGAGAGAGAGAGAGAGAGAACGGGACCAAAAAATACGCAGATGTCCAATGTATGAGCTCTCTACTTTGTGCAGTGAATATAGTGGAATTTGCATCGAAAATTAGGCCAATATTACCCGCATTTTTTGACAGTTCTGTGATCTTTATTAAATTCAAAATAATTTATAATTTAAGCCTCCTAACTAAATTCAAATCCAATCAATAATAAGGCGCAGTCGAGCCGGAAAGTCAGACGTCCAGCACCCTTTTTTCCGGGCCGGCCTGACCTTGGGATTAGGGGGGCACCGAGAGGGGCCGAAAAGGTGAAGGGGCAAGATTTGCATATGGGCGAGAGAGAGAGAGATAGTGAAAGAGAGATTGAGAAAAGGAGAGAGATACGGCCAAGGCTGGAACTGTTTGTACCGGCGCTTATGCCTTCACGATGGCTCGGATCGTGGCGGCTTGGGGATCAGAGGGGGCTTTAGGAGTTGCTCCGCGTCGTTGACCTTATTTATGTAAATTAGGCAGAAAGCGCTTAGATATTACCGGGTACGTTTTGGAAAATGAGTCGCACATTCGGCCGGTACGCTCGACAAAAAATGCCGACAACCTAAATAAAGCCGACAATCGAATAAAGCGCGGAAAATAGGACCTAACCGTAACTGCGCCGGGGGGGAGCCGCAAAAACGAAGCAATTAGTAGGTTTTTGCCAGATTTAATGCCGAAATGAATGCAAGGCGTGAAAGGCGGAAACTAGTCAGCGGCTGGGCCCCGCCACCCAACCCAACGGCTTATCAAATGTGTCATGGACGGGGCAAAGAAAGACAGAGACCCGGGTCATTGCAGCCAAGCCGAAAATAAATAAGCGTCACTAGGATGCAGGCGTTCAGGCAGAGACGGGAATTTGAATTTGGAGGCTTTTGGAACCCGGGTGGCGATAGAATGAGAGAGGAAGCGGGAGAGAGCGACATAGAGAGAGGGAGCATGAGAGAGTCAGGCAAAACGAGAGAGTGAGGAGAGCGAGAGAGTTAACGGGACAGTGAGTGAGGGAGGAGCAGGACAGAGAGAACCAAAGGTTTGAACAAGGTGATGCGTAGGGGTTAGAAATAAAATTTTGGGGGGGGGGGGGTTGAATTTGTGGGTTAAAAAAATAAGGGTGGGGGGGGGGGGGAAAAAAGGAAATTATATAAAAAAAAAAAAAAAAAAAAAAAAAAATAAAAATTTTTTTTTTTTGGAGAAAAAATATATTTTTGGGGGGGGGGTGTTTTTTTTTAAAATTTTTTGTGGAGGAAAACTCCATTTTGGGTGGTTTTTTTTTTTTATAATTTAAAAAATAAAAAAAAAAAAATTGGAAAAAAAAATAAAAAAAAAAAAAAAAAAAATAAAAAAAAAATTAAAATTATTTTAAAAATTAAAAAAAAAGAAAAAAAAAAAAGGGGGGGGTGGGTGGGGGGTGTTTTTTGGGGTTTTTAGGAAAGAGGGAAAGGGGGGGGCGAGGTTTTAAATATTAAATAATCTCTGCTAGCTCGCCAAATAAATATTCGTAAGCGAGAGAACTGAAGAGAGAGGGGGAGCTAGAGAGAGAGAGAGAGAGAGAGAGAGAGAGAGAGAGAGAGAAAAGAGCACGAGAGATAGAGAGCGAGTCGAGTGAGAAAACAACGCGATCGTTTGATAATTGGTAAAGGCAGGTAAATTATTCGAGAGAGAGAGAGAGAGAGAGAGAGAGAGATGCAAGATGGAAGGATATTTCCGACTTATCCTAAAAATAAGAGCTTAAATCCGTGATTCCCTTGCGACAACCGGCTTGCCAACGGCTACCACCTGTCCCATTGAAAGCCGCCTTCTCCTGGCCTTTTTGGGGGGAACGTCTGAAGGGCTAATGCTTGTCCCCCTCCTCGTCCTTTCTATTCAAAGAAATGGATACAGGCTTATAAATAAGAGGCGGGGAAAGCTTCGCGCTTCCGTCACGCCTTTCCCTTTGGGAATGTTGAAGGGTCTCAAAAATGGAAAATAAAAGTTTCTTCGATTTGAAAGCTGGTAAGAAGGCCGGGAAAATGAGCAAAAACTCGATAACGGTAGAAAAACGGAAATGACGTTAAGCTATATTTAGAAAATATATGAAAAACGTTCTAAGAGCTCGGAGCCGGGAGATGGAGAGCAAGGAGCTAGAGGCTGAAGACGAAAGAAATAAAATGGGAAAATGGGGTAAAAAACGAAAAACGATGGGACGAAAGCTTGGAAATGGAAAAATAAAATAAAAAGGGGAAATGGGACGGGGCGGGAAGATCGGGAAATACCTTTCCTAAAAATCCTCATTTTTAAAAAGGGGGGGGAATTTGGACAACGCAGACGCAAAAAAACACAAAAATGAATGCTGACATTTCTAGAAAATTGCAAACACCGATAAAACTGGAAAAATTAATTTCGTTAAACGAGTATACGAAGATTTGAAGCTCCGCAAATCGTTTAAAAATCTGTCGAAAACAGCGGAAAACATTCGGTGGATGAAATTAGCATATTCGAACTTTAAATGCCGACAAGTGGCCGATTCCAGGTGGTTGAGACCTGGCGAAATCAATGGCGTGTGCTTGGGGGCGCGTGGATGTATGGGTGAGGGCTAGAGGGGGAGGACAGGACAAGATGGCCATCTTTGGAAGGGGCATCGCGCAGGGGTCGACCCCAGGTGAGAGCGAGAGAGGGAGAGAGAGAGAGAGAGAGAGATACAGGCAGACAGTGAGAGGGGTTATATGACGGGGGTGAGCGTACAGGTAATTGCGTGTCTGTGTGCCCCCAGGTCAACACAACGTGCGCGTCTTTGACGGGCCCCAATTGCCCCGGGCGGATCCACGGCTAAATTGTTGGTTTTCGGTTTTAAAGGGGTTGGTAAAACAAGAATCCATAGAATAGATCCATAACATTCTCAATTTCGTGCCAAAATAGGTACTTTTGCATTTAAATTTGTATAACATTTTTGCAATATAAATAGCGTAAGCGTTTCCACATGGGTCTTCACGATTGTTTGACTCAAAAATTTACGAAGTTTTATTCAAAAATACAAAAACGCCGATTTTTCGAACCAAAATGCCGATTTTCGACAAAAAGTTCGAATTCTCTAAAAAAATTTTTGACAGTTTTTGGATAGTTTTCGCATCCAAAATACAGTTAATTCAAATGAAAACACTATTATAACATTTATTATTGCGTCATTAGGCATTTTGGCCCAGGTTCACACCCCCGATAATGCCCAAGCACCCAAAAAAATGATCGGTTTAAGGCATATCCTTGAGAAGCTCAAAAAATTCGAGTTGTCCGACTATTAGGTGAGCTTACGGTAGAACACCATAAAACCCAAAAATCTGATTTTTCCGACGCGAATGGTCGTTAAATGACCGGAATCGACGCGAACGTGCTCACGTGAGAATCAAAAAAAGCAGAAGAAGCTGCGTGGGGTGCACTTGAAGACGTGGAAAGTGGCCGGGGTCCCGCCACGAATCCCCCGGATCATTGGCCCGATCAGCGCCCGTGCAAAACCGGGTCCTATTCTTTTTCAGGCGCGAAAGGGGGGCTGATGACGGGGGAAGGAGGCGAACGCGCGCATGCTAGCGCGCTGGGCTTGATGGCAAATTGGCCGCGCGAATCGGGGGCTGGCTGTTCAAGCCGGGGGGGGGGGGCTAGTTTCGGCGCGAAGCGCGGTTTAAAGAAGCACGGAAGGCTGGTGAACAGCTAAAATCTGCAAATCGAAACCTGGACATCCTTTTTTGAAAAATTCTGTTCTTTTTTGAAAATGTCAGAGTACAAAAATGGCAGGGATTTATGATGCTACCAATAAATCTCAAAACGACAAAATCAGGAAAATAATTCGGGGTAGCTAGCAGGTTTCCTTGGGAAATCGCGGATTTTTAAAACTCTTTTTGATAGCGCAGCCAGAAAAACCGAGCCTGTGAATCAATGCATTTAAAATGATGAGCGAGGCATCAGTAAATCTTCAAAACTCCCGACGACTTCAAGGAGTTCAGCCGACGTTTAAAACTTTAAAACAAACGCATTTTAAAGCCTCTTTCATATACGGAAAATCAATTAAAATAAGCACGCTGTTTTTCACCCCCAAATCTGTTAAAACATAAAAATTATCCCAAAAAATAAGGCGCAATCAGCGGCGTGCCGGAAGGCTTTTCCTCTTCAGCTTCACCCCGGGGGAGCATCAATAGACTTTCGATCAAACAGAAAAAAGAGGGTAAATACGCCAGGCGCAAATAGAGATTGCATCAAAACAAAGTGATCGAGTTTTTAAGGATTTTTATGCGTAAAACCAACCCTGATAGGTGCCGTGCTCCAGCAAGTGACCCCCGTCCTTCAGCTCGTTGAAATGTTCGACCGTGACGAAGCGGTAGTGCTCACCGTCGACCTCACCATCTCGCGCATCACGTGTCGTGACTGGAATCAGGTTTAATTTTACTTTAAAGGGGTTAAGAAGGATCAAAATCGACTTTTCTGTGGACTGGATCTGGACCGATAAGACGCTACGCGCCCGCTGCGTATATGGACTCCATAAAACTCACATGGAACGGTGCGTGCGTAGACATTGTCTCGTATCACCGTCTGAAGCTCGGGGTATTCCTTCTCTGACAGAATCAAGCACAAATCATCCGGGATTGCATCTAAAAATGGCATTAAAGGGGTTTACAAGCGTAAAAATCGACTGGTTACGTCGACTGGGTCTCGGCAGATACTTCTTAAAGAGACGCTGTCGAGACCTAGGCGAAAGTAAGGGTCGATCACGTTATTTTCCGGCTATTTTAAAGGGAATGGCAAAGTGTTTACATATTTTTCGACTGCAGTTTTTATATCGCTATGGCAGCATTTGCGAGACGCGACGCGCGAGGCGCTAAACCAACCGACATGGACCTAATCCGTTACGCAATGGAAGGGTTGGATCGCGTCGTATTGCGCGTCGCGGCGCCGCGAATCTCTAGTGACACCATAGCCAAAAAACCATAGTCTTCTCTTGCCAATCCCTTTAATTCCCCCGAGATTTCTATACCTTTTGCAAGCACTTCAATGGCCAACTGATCCTTTTGGACGGATTGCGCTTCGAGGAGGGCCTGCGCTGTCGATCGCAGCATCCCGGAAACCGGTCTGAATTTTACTAGTTTATTCTTTATTCGTCTAAACGTGTTAGTTTCTAATTCACTTTAGTTTCCGGACCCCGTTTTCAGGTTTTTCAGGACCCACGACTTCCGTGAGACACTAGGGCACGCTAATTGAGCCCAGATGCCGGGTAACTGGGCTGAGACGGCCGAAATCTCCCAAATAACAAAAAGTCGCGTCAACTTACATCTCGTCGATCGTTAATATGACGTCGCCAGGATTCAGCAGTCCGACGAGGTCACTTTGTCGCACCATGTCCACCGTGATTAGCCTGAATTTAGGGTTTTTAGATCAAACATTTTACACCGCTCTAAAGGCGTATTTTTCCAAAAATTCATTCCTTTGCCTATAGCGCGTCTTTAAAGGGAGAGTGCCATCTAACAAACCTGGCTAGCGCGGCTCCGCCCTGGATCGTAAACGGGGTCTCGGCATTCGGGACGCAAGGTACTCGGATGAGGCGTCGAGTGCTTGTCGCAGAAACTGAAAACCAAGTAGATTTTTCTCTAGCTCTCTCTCTCTCTCTCTCTCTTTCTCTCTCTCTTTCTCTCTTTCTCTCTCCCTCTCTCTCTTTCCCTCCCTCTCTCTCTCGCTCCCTCTTTCTCTCCTTTTCTTTCGCTCTCTCGCTGTCTCTCTGACTCTTTCTCTTGCTATTTTTCTTTCACTCGCCCGCTCTCTATATCTCTCGCTTTATTCTTAGTCTATGTTTCTGCATCTCCCTCCCTCTCTTTCTCTCTTGCTCTCTCTCATTCTCCCTCCAAGTACGTTTAAAATTAAAATAGACAAATTTCCCCCTCTAACCCCCTAATTGCCATGTCAATTCCAGTCAGCCGGTATTGGTCCCCCCTTCTCTCCATCCGATGTCTATCATTTAGCCGAACCTTCCCCCCGAGCTGGTGGACGATGGCGATTTGTCAAGCTGAAGCTAGGCGCCAGGGGGCACACATTTGAAAAGAGGGCCTAGAGAAATGGAATTAGCGCCCAATGTCGAGGGTTAGAAAGGGGGGCATGGGTGGACCAGCTGTCGGCCGACCGTGGGGTTCGCACCTTCACGTCGTTCCCCCCAGACACCTTCGCTCTAGCCGAAAAGCATGATGATTAAAGGGATTGCGAACTGAAAGATGGCGTCTTGACAAAAACCCAAGTCTGTGCGGAAATTTTTGCAAAATACCGATAACTAAAACCGAAACATGCCAAAATGCCGACAACCGAAATTCCGAGAGCCGAAATCCGGAGAACGGAGCTATAAGCGTCAAAAATAGGTCGGAATTTTGGTTGTCGGTATTTTGGGTGACGGGAATTTAGCCAGTCAGGATCTTGGATGTCGGGATTCTGGCTGCCCGTATTATGACAGTCGAGATTTCGGCTATCGGGATCTGGGGATCAAGTCCAAAAGTACTCACCACGACCCTTTGACGATTTGCTGTCGACAGAATCAGCCTTGGAGATGTCGTTCTCCTTCTCATTAATTGACGACGTCCGGTCCAAGCTGGTCGAAGGGCTCGGCTCGCACTCGGTGCCCATTTGCTCGAGAATTCGCTGTAAATAAGTGTAAAACAGATTGCTCCAAAAATTCTGATCAAAAAGCCTATAATAAGAATAATTAATTGTCTAAATGTTCAGTCAAGGAAAAGTTAAAAGATTCAAACTTGGCTCAACAAAACGTGGTTTAGGCGAGAAGGAAATGGGAGGCAAGGAGAACGAGGAGGCAGGAGGAAAACATTGTTTATGCCCCGGCCACTTCGTCGTACGAGGAGCCGAGTGGAGGAAAATGACTCCCACGCAATAAACAATCCATTTTGTCCGCTTTTTCACTCGACCCCCGGCAGTTCCTGTTTTTGGCAGCCCGAGGCTTCAAAGAGCCTTTGAAATTTTTAAATTTTTTGTAAAAAATGCATGAAAAATGAATAAAAAAGCTGCAAATTTTTGCATTTTAAAATTATCGGCAAACAATAGATATCGGAAAAACACTAAAGCAATTTCACTCTGCTACCGCCCCCCGCTAACAGTCTAGTACCGCTACGTCTACGTCGACATAAAGTTTCGTAAATTTTCATGTATATCGTTGGAAAGCTCTTAAAAATAGCATTTAACCAGGGTTGAAAAGCCGCTTCGCGACTTTTCAACCCTGGCCCCGTCCAACCCAATGAAAGTTTACACTTTGCATAATTCGGCACGACCCACGCTGAAAAAAAGTGAAAAATGCGCTCTCTGCTACTTTATATAGGCTCTTCCCATTTCCGGTATATGCTAATTGATTCCTAACAAAGAGGGTGTCGGAATTTTCAACAAAAACTAAAATTTAATGTCGAAAATAGACGATTTTGATAAAACTGATGTGTGTGCAGTCATCTCCTGGACATTATGCACCTAATGACGTATCAAACATGACCCTAACTACTCTCCTTCTTGAGATACGACTGGAACAACCTGACGGAAGTTGCATGCAAAGTGGCACACACACACACAGACATTATTTTTTTATATATAGTAGGATAAGGAGATACCCTTAAATTCGTGACGGGTTGAAAAAGCTAAGGCTGGTCGAATGTCGAAAAACGCAAAAATCGACGAATTGTTTGAAGTTACGAATATCGACAAGGTTAAAAAAATCGGGTTTTACAGCGTTATAATTCGATAGTAACGTTTCCTTAGAAATAAAATTTAAATCGGACTAATGGTCCGTCTGAACCTCCGAAAAAACGTACCATATCGGCGCAGGGCCATGCGTAGTGCGGCGTTAGGTCTAACCCGGAAGCTGCTAGCATGGAAACGGGAAGCGAAAGTTTCCAATTCTCAATTTGTTTAGGCAATCCTATCTAACGCTAGTATTCGAATCTTATAACTAGGCGCCAAACCCATGAAACACCCTAAAAACAAGCATTAATGGAAGAGGCGAGAGTGGTGCGTTTGGGATGACAGCACTTTCCCATCCCCCCAACATCGCCAAGGGCAGCCATGAGTCATCTGGATTGGGGTGGTGAATCAAAATGTCTTTTTCCACCACTCGGCCGCCGCCCGACAACACTCTACGAAATTCATAAGTCGCCTCGTGAATTGAATTTCAGATTTCGTGAGGTGTTTTTTGGAGGTGGGGAACGTAGTCATAGAGCTGGGCGAGCTTCCCGAATTCGCAAAACGAAAACGATATTTCGCTAGAGAGAGAGAGAGAGAGAGAGAGAAAGAGATTCCGAAAAAGTTTTTGAAATACGAAAGTTCCAATAGGAATTCAGTCAAAATCCCGACAGCCAGAATCGCGACAGCCCAAAATACCAACAGCTCCCAAATCGGACGTCCGAAATCTCGACCAAATTTTTCGATGGTATTTTGAAATTTTGCTGTTTGATTTTTTGCTGTCGGTATTTTGGATGTTGGTATTTGTGCCTTTCGGGACTTGGTCGGTCGGGATTTTGCTATAGGTATTTGAATGTCGGGATTTGGGCAGTTGCGTTTTTTGTCGAATATCTGGCCTGTCGGCATTTTCGCTGCCGGTATTTTGCCTGTCAGCATTCCAAAAACATACGCCAACCACAAAAAACAGCATAGTCAAGAAAAAAACGCCCGAAAACCTCTACCCGCAAAAATGAATGGACCGGAAACGGTGTTGGAGAAATGGGTCGAGCGCGCCGATTTCTCTCGGAATCGGGCTACTTGCCATTTTATGACCCGGACAAAGGTCGACAGCGGGTTTCCGACGATTTTTAGGGGTAAAAACTGGGACAAGCTGCAGATACTTTTACAATTTTACAAAAATAGTATTTGGATGCAGAGAGAGAGAGAGAGAGAGAGAGAGAGCCAGAAACATTTCTTCGAACCGCATGAACTACGCGGCGTTCCGTGCCACCCGGCCCTTCAGAGCAAAAGTTTTTAGCGAGATTGCGTATCGTAATATGGAGGGGTCGGGATAAAGTTTTTCGAGCAGAGGTTCCCACGCACCCGGCCGATAGCATTCTGAATCGACCGGCGGCGGCAAAAAGTTTTCGCGGCGCGCAGGCCAGCTGGCCGGGCCTGGTCGCAAAAAAGGCCACAGAAAAGCTGGTGCTCGGTCAAAAACGAGAGGGAGAGAGATGAGAAAGCGAGAGAGAGTGAGAATGAGAGAGAGGGAGAGCGAGCAAAACAACGAAGAGATGGCCAAGATTCAAGCATTAAAAAATTCCGGTAAAAATGGTGCGCTGGAACATATTCCGAGCATCCCTAGAGCAACAGAATGAGCATCAGAAAGCCGGAGATAAAAAAAAGAGAGCGAGTGATAGAGAGCGAGAGAAAAAGAGAGCGAGCAAAAGGGAGAGAGAGCCAACCAAGTATCTGCTCCCCTCAATAGGAAGCTCGAAATTAGGTGGAGCGAGGGTAGGCTGAGCGAGGGGCAGAGCACGGGAGAGTCTCAATTTGGGCCCTCGGGTAGGCCCAAAGGGCCCAGGGGCCCAGATTTTCCCCCCGGAATCCACTTGCCTGCAGCCGGTTCAACTCTTCCAGATCTCGGGCCAGGTCGATGGTGGTGGCATTCTGGAAATGGAGGGGCTTTAAGGGGAGTGCGACAGGCCGATTCTGCAAAAAAAATCAAATTTAGATGGGATTCTCACATATATTTTGGGTATTCAAAAAATCGTTTTTTTAGATATTTGTGTAATAAGCAATAATGTAATAAGTAAGTTTTGTAGCCATAGTTTCATTTTTTTGGGATGATTTTCCCCTACCTGCTTGGAGGGGCCTTCGCCAGCCTCGGCGTCTGCCAACGGGGCCCGCATCGAGAGCCGCGTCGCTTGTAAGGCCACTAGAAATTCGACTACTTTATACGATAAAAATAGAGTAAAAATCGAAAAATTATACGTAGGAATGCAAAAAAATTCTTTTTTGGAGAATTTGTCGCGAAAAACGTTCGATCCAAGCTTGCCAGACGGGTCCCAGGGGACTCTCTCTATCTCTTTCTTTCCTCTCTCTCTCTTTCTTTCTCTCTCTCTCTCTCGCTCTTTCTCTCTTTTTACCTCTCTCCTTCAAAAATTAGCATAACAGAGCGACGGGTGGGCCCCAAAAGGACCCAGCGCTGCAAAATTCACTGAAAGAACCAATGTTCAAGATTTTCACAGCACAAGAAATAGACGAATAGTCTGAATTATTCAAGTTTGTGTCTACAACTAAAGCTACCCCCTAAATCTGCTAATTTAGAAGTAAGCGCAAGCTAAAGCGTAGAAAGCCATAACTCAAGGTTCGCAAGGGGTGGGGGGAGGCCAGAAAAGCGGAAGGGGGCACAAGAAGAAGCATACGCCATGGGTGCTCGTAAAATTGTAAATGTCCCCTGGGGGGCACCAGACCCACCAGACTCCAAACCTACCCCCAGGTCACCATCAGAAGCTCTGGCTTGTTGAGCACCAGAGTCCGAACTCCATACGCGTAAGGGTTTGCTAAGCGGTATCGTGATCTTAGCTATTCTGGTCTTCTTCTTAGCTGATCGTACTTTAAAAAGAAATAATCGTGATCTAAGAGAGGGGTAAGATTTGATGTTGCTACCCTTTTAGGTGCTTAAAGAGCTAGGGTGAAGAGCGAGAGAGCACGAGAGAGCACGAGAGACAGAAGAGAGAGAGAGAGAGAATGGGGAAGAGAATTTGCGCATAAAATACAATCCAGTAAAGAATGATAGCTCTGAACCTATTCCGAGCATCGTTAGACCAAAAGAATTAGCATCAGTAAGCCAGAGAGCGAGAGAGAAAGAGCGAGGGAGAGCGCGAGAGACAGTGAGACAGTGAGAGATCCAAATAAAGGGAAAAATAATTCAGAATTTTCAAATTCTTCAAAAACAAAGCTTTCTGTATCCAAAAACATTTTTGGAACGCTTGCGGAGCCACCACTCACAAATTCCAACGCAAAAAATTGAGCCCCGCCGAGGGGGGAAGCCCCGGAAAATGATCCTCTACCCCCTCCAGGGTTGGTTTGGGAGGAAGGCGAGACCGGGCCCCGGGTCGTTGCTCTAAATAAACAGAACAATTCCGAGGGGGGTGGATCGTGGGGGTTCACTAGCCCGATCGAGCAGTTCGCCTCCACCACCCCACAACCCGTAAATAGCAGCAGAACGGGATGGCCAGGAGGCTAATTATGGCAGGGGGTCGGGTGCGGAAGAGGGGATGTTCGTTATGGGAAAACGTCAAAATCGCAACAGCGATAGCCGCGAGAGCCAAAATCCCGCAATCCCAAATTTCGACAAGCAAGACCCAAACGACCAGAATCGAGCGAGGCCAAAATCCCGACATGCAAAATCCTGTTTTTTTTAAAGGAGCTAACTTTCAAATTAGCGTCAAGTCTATGTGGATCGTTGTTTGTCGACATTTTGGTCTGTCGGGATTTTTGTTGTCGGGGTTTTTGTCGATCGGGATTTTCGCCTGTCGGCATTTTTGATGGGGGAATTTTGCCTGTAGGATTTTTGTTGTCGGGATTTTGGTCGTCGGGATTATAAAGTTGGCCGTTATTTTAAAGGGAGAGTGACAGCTAATTGGCAATAAAGAGGGCGAGCGAGGCAGCGTGGGAGAGAGTGA